AATCAAATGATTTGATTCCAAATAGTCGATGACTTGTTCATTAAGCATTAATCATTTTCAGATTTCAGATGTGCAGTATTGCGTCACAGTGAGAACTTCGAAAGAAGTGTTTTTTACTTATAACACTATTACAGTAAATATTATAGAATAATCTAGAATATGCGCAAATAAATGAAAAAATAAATTTTGGTGACGCGCCAGTCGTAGGCAATTTTTTTTATAAAAGAAGCCATAAGAAAACCATAGATTTATTGCCTAAAACGATAAAAAATAAAATTCACATATAGTTGGCGCTGCATTCTATGCAAACTTGTTTTCCGTTGCAACGGACTAAGTGGAAAGTATACGCTTATTACATAGAATGTGGCGCCAACTATATGTGAATTTTATTTTTTATCATTTTAGGCAGTAATCTTATCGCTTCTTCGAATTTGATGAATTTTAAGCGCTTTGAAAATTCACAAAAAAATTCTTTTGGGGGAGGTTTTTTGGCACGAAAAAATTGAATCTGATGTTGACATATGTATCTGCGATACAAATAATTTTTTACACTTTTTCATGCAAAAATCACATCAAATTTGGTATCAATATAGCTTTTAGAGCTCAATTAAACTATTATGCGCGCAATGATTTTACACAAACATAAATGGATCCAAAATGTAATCCTCGATAATTGCTATAAAAGCAATTCATTTTGACATTTGTGAACATTAACAGTGAGAATTTACCTATATCAATGCGCGCGTTATAACTTTTTGACGTACGTCTTACAATTACGGACGAATAAGTAAGCAGTATGCGATTTGCTTGCACATGAGTAAGTGATCAGTGATTAGTGATCTGTATGTCCAAGTCTAGTTTTTATAGGAATCATCTGAGAAGAATCAATACCAAAAAAAGCTAATGGACGAAAATAATTTTTGAAGTAACGATATCATAGTTTACTGCTTGTTCCCAATAGTTAAAATTAGTAAGCTATTATGAGTTTGTCGGACGGCATATATACTGTTTGCGTTTTGGTTTGTGATCGAGGACACTGCTTCTTTTTTCTTTACATTGAACATTGAAATGTGCGTTTAATAGAATATACGTTAGTATACTTGACCCCACACACACAAAATATCGTGGTATTAATAAATAACATAACAAAGGTTTCCCTAAACGCACTCAATATAAATGTAGTTAAGGAGACAAGAAATAAATACGTTTTATACTGGTTATTGCCACCCAATGCTTAAGTATCAAGTATAAGTTTTGCCATAATCATTTGTCGTTATATATACAACTTTTTTTTCCTTAAGGCAGTACAGTAAAAAAAATACTTAAATTCACTTAATGAAACAATTTTGATGTTCATATATTTTCACAAACTACAATATCAACAAAAGATATTCAATGTAGCCTTCAGTCAAAATGAGAATAATGATGTGTTACCAACAATTGCAATAATACGTGATCAATTGAAGATCACCTGGCAATCACATGAAAAATCTTAATTAACATTTTTATGGCAATTTCAAGATATTTGATACGTCAATCCCAAACACACATATAGTAAGTTTTGACAGAGAGAGTGTATTAAATATTTTAATAGATTCATAACAAAGGCCAAGATTGTCATCTGTTAATGACAAAGCGGGACGATGACAAGCAACGTTGATAGTAGCGCCATGGTGCGGTTGCCAGCGAAACTAAAAAAATAGCACAAATTTCAATCGCATAAATCAAAAATGGTACGAATTTGTGCCACCCAACATAAACTGTGGCAACCATAATGAAGTTGCTGCGTTGCCCAGCTGTCATTGTCGTCGCGCTTTGGTTAATGAACAAAAACCAAGAATACGTTTTATACTCTATTGGATTCTTGATTTGGGTTTATGAATTTGCAACAAACTGTTTTTTGGTTCTTTATTTCGCAAATATGAGAATTGTTTATTTTAACTTTTTGTTTGTGAAATCGAAACCATGTTATATTTTCTCTCTCTCTCTCACTATTTCTTTCTTAATTTGCATGTTTCAAACATGTACAAGCTATAGCATACTGACATTCCGAACGTGCTGAAAAGCAATGAGAGGTTGTAAGAAACAGACGACGGAAAATATGTTGAAATTATTTGATGCGTTCGCTTCATAGTATGAAATGTGGTTTTTTTGTTTTCAAAATTTTGAACTTAAAGTGTTAGTACGCAATTATTATAGTATAATTTGTGTATTTTATGGTGCGCAAATGCGTGAGTGAATTCAAAAAGTTTTGATCTGTTATGAAATAGACTATCATATTTTTGGTACTATTCTTCTCGCGCAGAATTTTACGGATGATTTTTTGCATTCGGTGTTTTCTTTGAATTTTTCAAACTTTTTGAAAACAAATGAGATATAGTTAAACTTATATAACGGTGTATAGTTTTAATTGATTTTATAGTATACATGTACATAATAAAGATTAACATGAAAGCCGCGTTAAAAGAAAAGTGAAGAAAAAAAATCAATCACGTCGACTAAGAATTGGAAAATATTTGTATACCTTGCCTACTTTCTTACTCTCATTTAATGTATATTCGTGTATCCGCTTGTCTTTAGAATTTACTTCGAAAAAGAGCAAGTATTTATCGACTACGAAAAAAATAGTTTAAATAAATAAATGAACGAAAAAAATATAAAAAAGTAAAACCGAAAAAAATTACACGCTCAAATGGTTTGTAACAACATATTCTATGTACAATCATGGGCCACAAAAATATTTGTGTGATCTAAATTATTGTAATTTTTTGGTGTTGCGTTCGATGAGTGTGTGGTTCTCACGTGTACTTCACATATTTTAAAATTTCGAATGCGTACAAGAAAACGCAATTTCTTCTAGTTCTAGATCAATTTTTTGACAATTAGTCGGTCAGTTGGATGGTTGGTTGGTTCATGAAATGGACACGCGCTGATTTGACTAGGCTTTATTATTTAATTGTTTTTGTTACGCGACTTTCGAAAATATTCATACTGTGCTTACAATGTTTTATATCCCAAATGGGAGTTTAATAATTATATTGAATAAATGTTGGTATTTGAGGAGAGCCAATGAGAAAATGCTTAATAAATATTCAATATAATTTATGATTTGATTTGTCTCATTTTATTTTTCTGGTTCAGAATATATTAAATAGTGTTTAAAATAAATAATTGTGATTTTATTCATTCAGTAAGATAAAAACCGAAACAAATAACATTGATAGAAAGCGATTAATAAAAGTGAAATAAAATGGTTAGTTATGCGTCGTCAGTTTTCATTGTTACGTTTGAAACAACGTTTAAACATTTATGTTTATTGAAAGTAATATCGATTATAAATATTAAACAGGATGTTCCAGCTGTTAAAGTACCAGAAATTAAGGCCCCAGAAATTAATGCGCCAGACGCACCGAAGATCGAAGTAATTCGTGAAAAGAGTCCATTCGGTGAACGTAAGAGTTCATTGGCCCCTGGATCGGGCCCATCAAGCCGCCGTGGTTCATTGATTCCACCAGAAGAGCCAGGACGACGACCAAGTTTGATAATCAGCGATGAGGTTCGTATATTTAGTGCTCTTATAGTTGATCTAATTTACCGTTTTAATGAATATTGTCGGTGGTTATTCACTTGTGAATGTCCTTTGCAAGTGAGAAAAAAAGTCAAAATTTTTATTGAGAGTATTTTTTAAACAAACTTTAAACAAAGTTTAATGATGTAGATAATTTCCAAAAAAAATCGATCGGCAGTTGATTTATTTTATTGGAATAATTAAAAAAGTTCAAGTTTTCTATTGAACGAAAATGATATAATCCAATCGAATAAATTTGATGTTTGTGTCTTAGATTCGGTTTCCATTGTTTTGGTATTCCTTCCGTTCATAAAACTTTGGCTCGATGTGTACGTATTTTTATTCTAATCGAAGTACATCTTAAGAGATCACTTGGTTGATAATCTTTTATATGTTAATACGTTGTTGAACATTTATATATTGTTCTAATTTTAAAACAAAAATGTTGGCACATTCTTAGCCATCATATTCTCATTCGTATGATTTTATTATTTGTTTTCAAATAGATTCGGCTAGAAGCTTAGTAGTTTCATATATTTTACGCACAAAGAATTGTATTTCGTATCCGTTTGAATATATATTACGTGTAGATCTGTTTTGCCTCATCCTCATGTTTTGTTTGAATTTCATTTTCATCTATTTTTGTAACTCGAAAAATAAGACATACCAGTAGATTTGTACATCTAATTTTTCCTACTGAATTGAACGGATAAAATGAATTTTCAAAACATATATGAATTGAACTTTACTCAATAAACTCATGATGTATCCCAAATTTATACAATTTTTACGAATTGCTGAAACCACATTAAAAAAAAATTGATTATCTGTTTTCAATTGAAAAATGTAATAATTTTTATTTTTCCCCGAAAATTTACGGAAATCCCCAATTTTTGCACTCCAAAAATATCACAAAAAAATATCACGTGCATGCAATATATGCAATACACATCGAACCTGAAAATATCCTCCAAAATTTGCATATACGTTCCCAAAAAATCAACACATATCCCAAAAACACAACCACACAACAACAACAAAAATACATACATACACGACACAAATAGGAGCATAGAAAACTACGTCCTGGTGAAGTGGTCGAAGAAAAAAAGGTATGCATTTTTATACCACTTGAACACATCAACCACTTGGAAAAGCCTCATTGAATTCATTATTATACATACATACATACACAAAAATCTATCTACTATACCAACTTAATTTTGCATTCATACTCACATTCACACATATGATTCGTGTTTGTTTTCAATGTTTTCTTCTTATCTTCTTCTTCTTCTTCTTCTTCTTTATCTTTTATTTGTTTTTATTCGGCTCTATCTAAATTTTAAACTAGCTTTTCGCTCTGAGAATATTAATAGATTTTGTTAGTTGATGGATCACCTGCTGAATTGGTTGAGGGACAAATAGATTTTAGTTAAGAAATTAAATCGTTCATTTCGATGCACTGAAATAACCATATTTTTTCTTCTGTTGCCATTCATCGGCTTGTACTTTTCACATGCCACAAATGCAACATTAACCTTCTTTACAGTTAAGATTAAGACCTGGTGAGGTATTAGATGACAAGGTGAGAGCAAAAATTATTATATTTCTGCTCCCAAAATAAAAAAAAAATGTCAAACAGATATAATTTAAAATCGAAATCAAATTCGAAAATGTATCTTCTATTTCTATCATTCTATTTACTATCGCTATTTCCAAAACAAAAAATTGGTTTGCTCTTCTTTCTTTTCTTCTCTATCTGACCTCCAAATAAACACAAGAAACACTGTAACGTTATATATTGTCGATCAATCGCGTATATTATATAGGTTTTTTTATTTCAGAAAAACGTCATGTTAAAATAAGCAAAAGAAATGAAATTACTAATATTTATTTAATAAATTCATTTTTAAACTATAAACACACACACACAAACACACACATACACACAAAACATACCTACGAATAAAATTGCTGCTTAGAAAAAAGGAAATCGACCCGGAGAAGTGGATAGTTCAAAAACGGTAAATGTTTATTCGCTTGTTAAGAAGATTTTAAAGCCCATTTAAAGCTTAATCGCACAGACTTGGCATTCAGCCGATGTGATCAACGTCTTAAGCGAAAATGTTTTGTGAATAGAATCCGGTGACGAATTCAAGTCTAGTGTCTCATGTTTTCTCTTTTCGTTTGATGTTGTTTATATTAATTAGAATATATACATTCTTATTTCCTTTTCTTACTTCAAAATATGCCTCAAAACCACTGTTGAGGTTAAAAGATTACATATTTTATATGCCATCATTGTAAATAGCTTTTTATGTTTTATAAGCTGGAACAACAGCAACTTTGAACACCCTTTGTATATATATATATAGAATGAGACACAACCGAAACTTTCGTTTGGAATAGTTTGTTTGAAAAACTACAAGTAAACATTACAGCCGTATTCGTTTCTCGATCATGTGAAGTGTATTTACCATTTATTTAGTTATAATCTTAATGTTCTCATACACTTTAGAATAGAATAGAATAGAATAGAATAGAATAGAATAAAGAATAATCGGTTTATTGGTCAATAGAAATGTAAATATTTTGGTAAAATTCATTGAACTACACGTTACACACAAAACGCTTCCATTATATTTTTTCGTCATATTTTTCTTTTCACACACTATCACAGGACAACAACTGAAAAGATAAATATTTTAAGAAACCAATCTTGATTGTATTTGCTTACACATTTTTTACGCTTTCAATACGCATTAATGTTTCATTTCTTCGTCTAACCTATGTTTCTTCCTTTATCCTCAATTTAACATAAAATAAGTAATAATCGATTTCAATTTAAATTAATTCCTTTTCACCTTTCTACTTAAACTTCTAGTCTCTGTCTCTGTCTTTTTTCTCTTTCTATATAAATTCTTTTGTTTCTTGTTTATTGTCGCTTTGAAAAATGATGATCATCATGTAACTAATATATATAATTATATTCTGTAATTTTCCTCATGTTTCTTACAATCATATTGTAATTAACAAATAAAAATCACAGAGACGTCGCCCGTCAATTGATATGCGACGACCAAGCGTACAAGATCTTGAGGATAAAATTAATCAACCATCAACACCATTACGAGACATCGGTGAACCAGGACCACCCCAAATCGTGGACGTACAAGAAAGTTACTCAGCAGTTGAAGGTTCACATCCTCTTATAATGTTTTAATGTTTTTTTATATGTATTGTTGTCACTAACAAATGGAAAAAAATATATTTATTTGTTCAGATCAAACTGGATACATTAGTGTTCAAGTTGAAGGATCGCCGGCACCAACATTTAAATTCTACAAAGGTGTAACAGAAATCATTGAGGGTGGTCGCTTTAAATTTCTCACCGATGGTGAATCCAATACAATTACACTTTGTATGCGCAAAGTCAAACCAAACGATGAAGGCAAATACAAAATTGTCATTTCAAACATTCATGGAGAAGATTCCGCCGAAATGCAAATGTATGTGTCAGATTCAAGTGGAATGGACTTCCGTGCTATGTTGAAAAAACGCAAGTATGCCAAATGGGGTCAACCAAAGGATGATCCAGACTGGGGTGATCTAAAAGAGGTTGAAAAACCAATTCCAGCCTTAAAGAAAGTCGAAAAGGTAAGGTTTATGTTTGTAATTTCCATTGTCTTAAGATTATCGAACAAGCCAACAATATCTTTCATTCCATTGATGTGCTGAGTGTGTATTGTGTAGTATGTCTGTATCTAAGTGTACTTAAATTTTTAGGATAGGAAAGTTTGAAAATAAAAGCAAATAAGTATGAAACCTTCCCAAAAGAAAGTCATTGTATCGAATATTTCTGTAGTTGTCGAAAAATGTATGTGTTATTTTATACTGAAATATGAATGATTTATAGGGTGGTGGATCACGACGTCCATCGTTAGCTGAACTGATACCAGACTGGCCCACATTACATCCTCCATTCCATCGTTCGGAGGTGGTTTTTATAAGACACAATCTCTCATTGAATACCACAAGCACTATTTATGTCGTGCCAATCTTTAAATAAAACGTCACTCCTTTACCTCATCTTAAATATACTTTTCTCTATCTGTTTCTGTTTCTACTCTTCTTTAATTATCGTTTCTATTTTTCAATACTTGTTGTTGTTGTTGTTGTTGTATACTTTTACTTCTTTCTTTTTATGCTTCACTATTTTCTTTATTCTATCCTATTATAATAAATATCAAATAATGATCAGATTTTGATTTTTATAATTTGGATTTCTCAATTTTGTCAATAATGTTCAGAAGATTTTTTATCTCCAGCCAATTCATATTTCTTTGGATTTTGTTTTTCGGTCGTGAAGAATTGCTGTTTGGTTTTTTAATTGTCAACTTTTTGATTTTGATATTTTTTTGAGGTCCAAGTTTTTGTAGACTATCAGCAGGTTTTTTCTGCCTTTTTAGTATTTGAATATGTCAAATTGAAGAAAATTATAATAATTATTATTTTTTCCCTTTTCGGTAAACTAAAATTCGAAATAGAAACAAGATAATTTCTTGAGCCCACTACTGGATCAACAAGCAAAAGAAGGGAAAGACAAAAAGGTTGTGTTTGAGGCGAAATTCTCAAAACCAAACGCCAAACCGAAATGGTTTTGCCGTAAGGATGTAAGTATTGAACAATAAATAAAAAAAAAAAAGTCAACTGAGAAATACGCGTTTCTAAATATTATATATTTTCACTCCGTCAGGAATTATTCACTGGTTCGAAGTACAAATTTAAGAATGAAGCCGATGTCTATCAATTAATTATTATGAATCCAAAAGTGGAGGATACAGCCAAATATACAATAGATATTAGTGGCGTTCAATCTACCGCTTTCTTGAATGTCGAAGAGCCAGATCCATCATATACATTCACCAAGCCATTGAAGAAGAAGTATGATGGTTTTACCAAACACGAATTGACGATGGAATGTACAGTCAGCAGTTCAATGGCCAATGTTGCATGGTATAAGGGTGATAAAAAATTATCTAACGACGATAAATATTTGATCGGTAAAGAATTGTCAGGTGTTTGCAAATTGCAAATCAGGAACTGTGATTTGGATGACACAGGCGATTATAGATGCCAACTTGAAAGACAAGATGATAAAACTGAAACTAAAGTTAAAGTTGTTGGTGAGTAAAGCAAAAAAAAAAAACAAAAAACAAAATAATCAACGTTTTTGATAAATTAAATGAACAGCAATAACAGCACTTTCACAATCGTTGTATTTTGTAGAATATCCGTACAAGTTCGTTAAAGTCCTTAAGTCACAACAGCTTATTGAAAAGGACAATGTTACATTGGCCTGTGAGTTGGATGATGCTGGTGGTGACGTAACATGGTTTAAGGATGGTGAAGAAATTAAACCAGAGGAATCAAAACGCATCCAAGCCGTTAAAGATGGTCGCAAACGCAAACTCGTCATCAAAGATGCAAAAGTATCGGATGCTGGTCAATACTCTTGCGTCAGTAACGCTGACAAGACACAAGCCGAACTCATTATTAACTATCAAAATAAGTTTAACAAGAAACTTAAAGATACAGTGGCAATTGAACGTGAAAAATTGGTGCTAGAAATTGAATTACAAGATCAAACTGCACCAGCAGAATGGAAGTTTAACGGTGAGCCCATTGTGCTGCCGAGCGATCGTATTGAAATAAAGAATTTGGGTGGTGGCAAACATCAATTGGTTTTCAATAACTTGGAAATGGCTGACAACGGTGAAATTTCAGTTGACTCAGGAAAGTTGAACTCATCGTGTAAACTCACAGTTCAAAAAGGTGAAAGTAAGCCCCAAATAAATGCACCCAGCGACTTCGAGGGACCAATCAGTGCACCGATCGTTCTTGCAGTGCCATTCAAAAGTAAGTATTATATAGACTTCTAAAATACCAAAATTGACGTCTAAATTCATAAATTTATATTCTGAAAAAATTGTTTATTGATGATAATGTTATCTAACGGTATTATGTCCTGCATTAAAATATGAGCTAACAAAATTTCTTACTTCGCTTATTGGATTATTTATTGACAGTTGACGGCACAAAACAAACTCCTATCGAAGCTAAACTGCTTAAAGAAGATGGAAAACCATTACCATCTAAAGATGTTGAAGTACAAGTTAAAGATGATAAAGTCATTTTTAAGATCAAGAAACCTACACGTGATCAATCCGGTGCATATCAAATTAAATTGTCGAATGGTCAAGGTGATGATGTGAAAGATGTCAACATCACAATGCAGGACGTTCCAAATTCACCAGAAGATGTTGATGTGCGTGAAGTGTTTGAAAAATCATGCATTGTTTATTGGAAAGCACCAAAAGACGATGGCGGTGCACCACTTCAAAAGTATATTATTGAACGTCAAGATCTCTCCTTAAAGAAAGGCTGGGAGAATGTTGGCGAAGTGCCGGCTGCTAATAAGCCAACTACTTTCAAAGCCGAAGATCTTACACCAAAGAAAACATATAAATTCCGTATTCGTGCTGTTAACAAAATCGGTCCAAGTGAACCGGCCACATTTAAGAACAACATTTTGGCTAAAGATCCATGGGATGAACCAAGCAAACCAAATAATGTTGAGGTAACCGACTGGGATAAAGATCATGCAGACATCACATGGACTAAACCAGATACTGATGGTGGTGCCGAAATTTTTGAATACATAATTGAAGTGAAAGACAAATTCAGCAAAGATTGGGTTAAAAAGAAGCGAGTTCCCGCTTCAGAAACATCGACAACTGTGGATGATCTCAAAGATGGTCAGCAATATGAGTTCCGGGTACGAGCCGTTAACAAGGCTGGTCCTGGTGAACCTAGTGATGCAACCAAACCAATTATTGCTAAATGCCGATTCGTCAAACCATTCATTATTGGTGATGAATTAAAACCAATCATCATCAAAAAGGGTCAACAATTCAAGTACGACATTCGTTACGGTGGTGAGCCCGAACCAGAAGTTAAATGGGAAAAAGATGGCAAGGAAGTCACATCTGATGGTGATCGTATAACAATTGAAAAACCACCAGAACGGAACACCATTATGACCGTTCGCAAAGGTGTTCGTAGTGATTCTGGTAAATACAAGCTCATTTTGACAAACAGTAGTGGAACGATTGAATCGGTTGGTGATGTTGTTGTGCTCGACAAGCCATCTCCACCAAAGGGACCACTTGTACCAGAAGAGATTCGTGCCAATCATGTCAAAGTCAAGTGGCAAAAACCGGAAGATACCGGTGGCACCGATATTACTGGCTATGTTTTAGAAAAAATGGATATGGACACTGGACGATGGATTCCAGCTGGTGAATGTGGCCCGGATGACGATACTTTTACGTTCAATGGGCTTACACCAAATAAAAAATATAAGTTCCGTGTTCGTGCCAAAAATAAAGAAGGTGAATCAGAACCATTGGAAACAACTGATGCCATCGTTGCGAAGAATCCATATGACGAACCAAGCAAACCTGGTAAACCTAACATCATTGATTATGACAATGTTAGTGTTACATTGAATTGGGCAAAACCAGAAAAAGATGGCGGTAGACCAATTATTCATTACACTATTGAAATGAAGAGCAAATTTTCGCCAGAATGGTCGGAAGTATTAAAAACATTAGATGACACATGTGAAGCTGTTGTGGATGGGCTTAAAGAAAATTTGACATATCAATTCCGTGTAAAAGCCCACAATAAAGCTGGTGCATCAGAAGCATCTGAGCCAACTGATAACCATCTATGCAAATATAAGAACCGTGAGTATGATTTGTTTTTTCTCCTTCAAAAATGTATATAATAAAAAAAAAATGCAATCATCTGTATGATTGTAACAACTATGTATATTCCCTTGTGACTAACATTTTATGTATTATATATGTGTATTTTTTTGTTTGTGAAATAATTTCATTCGCAGTAAAACCACGCATCGATCGAAATACATTCAAACAAGTTACAATCAAAGCTGGCCGTACACACAAATGGTCTGTTGATGTTATCGGCGAGCCTGTACCAGAAATGATTTGGAGTTGGCGTGATGATATTCCGCTGGTTTCAACAGAACGTATCAAGGTTGAAAATAAAGACTATCACACCGATTTCTCAATTATTAACGTACAACGTAACGATACGGGGAAATATAAGCTTAAAGCCACTAACCGTAATGGAAGTGATGAAGAAATCGTTGACCTAATTGTGTTAGGACGGCCAGGCACACCAAAGGGACCATTAGAAGTAAATGATGTTCATGAAAAGGGATGCAAACTCAAGTGGAAGAAACCGGAAGATGACGGTGGTGTTCCGATAAAGGAATACGAAATTGAAAAAATGGACACCGCGACTGGTAAATGGGTGCGTGTTGGTAAAGTTCCAGCTTCTTCAGGCGGCGGTGGTGGTGGTGGTGGTGAAGGTAGTACGAAGGACAATCCAGAATTTACCGTTACTGGTTTAAGCCCAGGTGCTGAATATAAGTTCCGTGTATCGGCGGTCAACGACGAAGGAGACTCCGAACCATTGGTTACAGGCCATTCAATCATCGCCAAGAATCCATATGATGAACCAAAAAAACCAGGAACACCAGAAGTTGTAGACTTTAATAATCATAGTGCTACCATTAAATGGACACCACCCAAGTCAGATGGTGGAGCTGCTATTGAAAAATACATTGTCGAGAAGAAAGGTAAGTTCTTTTTTAATTATCGAAAAAACGCGCATACTATCCCTATGAAAGATCACTTGAAATTCATGTAAGATAAAGCTATACGATGAAGCTATTCCTTATTTTAAACGAATTATTCAATTCACTTTAAAAAAATATATGACTGATATTTTTGACTTATTACATTTTTATTTTACACTCAGAGATTGTAAAATATATCACCATGAAAAATACTAGTACTACTGTATTCAGTGAGTTTTTAAAATACAATAAACCTACCTAATTGACTTCAATCGTTCAAATAAAGCATGGATGTTGTTGAGAAATATCATCAACCCGAAAAAAAAAAAACCACAAAATCTAATAAAATTCAAATGAAAACTACCAGAGTTTTTGTAAAAATTATATTATTTCGAATGTCTTTCATTTAAGATTTACTATATTGTAAATATGGATACTTTGTGAATGTATCAAAGTTCGATCAAAATCATCACATGCATCGGAATGTATTCTACACTACATTGAATTATTTTTTGCTCAATAAAAATGTAGATCTCATCTTTTCTTTGTTTCACACTTCCTGCTGTACATTTTTTGCGAAATGAAAAATGAAGATTTCTTTTCAATTATTATTAAGTATTTGAAATTATTCCACGTTCATTTGTATAAGATTGAAATTATTTTAAAATCTAATTTGCTTCCAATTTTAATCTATCAGAAAATTGTAAATAAGTTTGAATGATTTCTTCTCAACCAATGAAAAACACGTTCTAAAAATATTATTATCTCCAATATAGACAAAAACAAACCTGATTGGGAGAAAGCACTTGAAGTTGTTCCTGGTGGTGGTGATCAACAATTGGAAGCTTTGATCGATGATCTCAAAGAAACCGGTGAATATCAATTCCGTGTAATAGCTGTTAACAAGGCTGGTCTATCGCCTCCATCAGATCCATCAAAAACACAAGTCATTCGCCATAAGGCATTGAAACCAAGAATTGACCGCACAAATCTCAAAACAGTCATAGTACGTGCTGGAAAACCGATCTTTTTCGACGTTGACGTGCGTGGTGAGCCACCGCCACAAATTACATGGACCTTGAAAGATCAAGAAGAAGAAGAAGAAGAAGTCAAAAGCGAAGATAATGTAGAAATCACAAATGTACCATACAACACAAAATTTTCGATTAAAGAAGCTCTTCGCAAGAATACGGGACTATACAAAATCAAAGCAATCAATCCACATGGTGAAGATGTGGCTGAAGTTGATGTGACTGTTCTATCAGCACCAGGCAAACCGAAAGGTCCACTTAAGGTTTCTGATGTCACAAAGACCGGATGTAAACTCAAATGGGATAAACCAGATGATGATGGTGGTTTACCATTGAGTGCCTATCAAGTTGAAAAACTTGATAAAGCAACTGGTCGTTGGGTTCCCGTTGGACGTGCTGCTGCTGCTCTACCAGAAGATACTGAATTTGATGTAAAAGGCTTGCAAGAAGGGCATGAATATCAATTTAGAGTTAAGGCAATCAATGATGAAGGTGAATCAGAGCCACTTGAAACCGATAGCACAATTATTGCGAAGAATCCATACGAAGTGACTGACAAACCAGGCACTCCAGAAATTGTTGATTGGGGACCAGATTTTGCTGACTTGAAATGGGAAGTGCCAAAGAAAACCAACGGTGCTCCAGTCACTGGTTATATCATCGAGAAGAAAGAGAAATTCTCACCACACTGGGAAGAAGTGCTTGTCACTGATTCACCTAAACCAGAGGCTAAGGTTCCAGATTTAAAGGAAGGAAACACTTATCAGTTCCGGGTGCGAGCTGTTAACAAAGCCGGTCCCAGCGAACCAAGTGATCCAACCAAACCACATGTTGCTAAACATCGTTTCCTTAAACCACTTATTAATCGTGAAAAATTGCACACGGTTAGAGTACGTGCTGGGGAAAATGTAAAGATTGAAACGGACGTGCGTGGTGAGCCACCAGCACAAATTACATGGAGCATTGCTGGTGGTGGTGGTGGTGGTGGTGGTGGTGGTGGTGGTAAACCCATTGAAACCAGTGCCCATTACAAGGTTGATAACGAAGATTATAACACAAAACTTGTTATCAGCGATACCGAACGTAAACTTTCGGGCATCTATACTATTTTCGCAAAAAACGATTCGGGAAGCGATGAAGCAACCATCGAAGTTATCATTTTGGATAAACCATCGAAACCAGAAGGTCCACTTGAAGTCTCTGATGTACACAAAGAGGGATGCAAATTGAAATGGAACAAACCAAAAGACGATGGTGGTTTACCATTGAGTGCTTATGTTGTTGAAAAAATGGACGTTGCCACTGGTCGATGGGTACCAGCTGGACGCGTTGATCCATCAAAGACGGAACATGAAGTTTCTGGGCTCGAACCTAATCACAAGTATCAATTCCGTGTTAAAGCAGTCAACGAGGAAGGTGAATCTGGTCCACTTGAAACTGATCACGATATTTTGGCTAAGAACCCATATGATCCACCAGCACCACCAGGCCTACCAGAAATCAATGATTGGGATGAACATTCAGTTAAATTGAAATGGGAACCACCAATTCGCGACAATGGCGCACCGATTATTGGCTACATCATTGAAGTTATGGACAAAGATTCTGGTAATTTTGTTAAAGCCATCGAAGTTCCAGGTGGTGGTGGTGGTGGTAACAAATGTGAAGGCACTGTTCCAAAGTTAGTTGAAGGTGAACAATATAAATTCCGTGTCAAAGCAGTCAACAAAGCCGGTCCATCCGAACCATCTGAGGCTACGAACTGGCATACTGCGAAGGCTCGCTTCCGTAAGTTTACGTTCCCGTTTAAGAGATCAATTTATCATTATATGCTTAATGATCAATTAAAAAAAAAAAAATCAAGTACTATATTCTTTTTTCGTGCTTACGTTAATGTTATTTGTTTGTCTATTTTCTCTGTTCTATGTTTTTTATATTGTGCATAATATTTACTTTCGAATATGAAGTTAACATTAAATTTTGTTTCTTTAAATCTAATTACAGTGAAACCAAGAATCGATCGTACAAACTTGAATCCAATTACATTGAAAGCTGGTCTTTCTCTGAACTTGGATATAAAGGTATTCGGCGAGCCGCCACCAGACGTACAGTGGTATTTTAAAGAGAAGGAATTGTTATCCGATGAAAATACTCGCATTGACAACGCTGATTACAATACAAAGTTCTATATTATGCGCGCCAAACGTCTACAATCTGGTAAATATACTATTGTGGCCAAGAATCAAATGGGTGAAGATCGTGCCGATGTTGAGATCACTGTATTGGGAAAACCATCAGCACCAAATGGACCACTCAAAGTTTCAGATGTCAACAAACATGGATGCAAATTAAAGTGGGAAAAACCAGATGACGCGGGTGGTACTCCAATCGATTACTATTCAATCGAAAAATTGGATCCACACACTGGTCAATGGATTCCATGCGGTCGCAGTACAGAGCCAGAAGCTACAATTACCGGTTTACAAGAAGGAAAACCATACAAATTCCGTGTTCGTGCAGTGAACAAAGAGGGCGATTCAGATCCATTGGAAACTGAAGGAACAATTATTGCTAAAAATCCGTTCGATGAGCCTGATAAGCCAGGTCGCCCAGAACCAACAAACTGGGACAAAGATTTTGTGGACTTGAAATGGTCACCGCCACCAAGCGATGGAGGCGCTCCATTGGAAAAATACATTGTCCAAATGCGTGATAAATCTGGTCGTGGATGGAGTGATGCTTTAACTGTGCCAGGAAATCAAACGCAAGGAAAAGTAACAAACATTGATGATTGTCATGAATATGAATTCCGCGTTGTTGCTGTCAATAAAGCAGGTCCCAGCGAACCAAGTGATGTATCGAAATCAGTCATTGCTAAACCAAGATTCCTAGCACCACATATTGACCGTAAGAACTTGCAAAAGAAAGTTCTACGAGCTGGACAAATGCTACGCATGGATGCAGATGTTGGGGGTGAGCCCGCACCGTCGATCGATTGGAGTTATAAAAATGAAGTGTTGCGTACAGCAGATCGCTTAAAGATCGAAAATGAAGACTATAAAACAACATTTATTTTGCAAAAGGCTAAACGCTCAGATCGTGGTACATACACCGTGACAGCTAAGAATAGCAGCGGTGTAGACACAGTAAATGTTGAGCTTGAAGTGTTGTGCAAACCAAGCAAGCCACAAGGCCCATTAGACGTATCTGATGTAACTGCCGAAGGATGCCATCTCAAATGGGAAAAACCAGAAGATGATGGAGGCGAACCCATTGATCACTACGTCGTTGAACGTATGGATACAGATAGCGGACGATGGGTTCCAGTTTGCAAGTCAAAAACACCAGAAGCTGATGTAACTGGTTTAAATGAAGGAAAAGATTATTTGTTCCGTGTTAAAGCTGTCAATTCAGAAGGCGAATCAGAGCCACTTACAACAGAAACGGCAATTAAGGCCAAGAACCCATATAGTGCTGCTGATGCACCAAGCAAACCAGTCTTAAAAGACTGGTCGAAGAACCATGCTGACATTACATGGACACCTCCAGAAGATGATGGCGGCGCACCAATTAGTGGCTACATTGTTGAAAAGAAAGACGAATTCTCACCAAAATGGCAAAAAGTATTGGAAACCAAAGGTCCCGAATGTAAAGCACATATTCCAGATTTGGTTGAAGGGCAAAAATACCAATTCCGTGTCAAAGCCATTAATAAAGGCGGTCAAAGTAAACCGTCACAACCATCTGATACTCTATTGGCCAAAGATCGATTTGCCGCACCAAAAATTGATCGTACCAATCTTAAGGATATTTCAATCAAAGCTGGTCAACACATTCGCTTGGACGTTAAGATAAGTGGTGAGCCTCCACCAACCAAGACCTGGTTTTTAAACAAAGAGCGCTTGGATCAACCCCGAGACGATATTATTATCGATTTCGAAGATTATCGTACCAAATTCCATATTCCACATGCAACACGCGCACATAAAGGACGTATCACAATCAAAGCAGAAAATGATTCTGGACGAGATGAAGCTTCAATTGAAGTTACTGTACTCGATAAGCCAAGCAAACCAGAAGGTCCACTTCGCATTAATGATGTACACAAGGAAGGCGCGACTCTTAAATGGAATCCACCACTTGATGATGGTGGTATTCCGCTAGATCATTATGCTGTTGAAAAAATGGATATGGATACAGGACGATGGGTTTCAGCTGGTCGTTCGAAAGAACCACATTTGAAGATTGACAATTTGACACCTGGACAGGAATATAAATTTCGTGTGTCAGCTGTCAATGCTGAAGGCGAATCCGAACCATTGGAAGCCGAACAAACCATCATTGCCAAGAATCCATTCGGTAAGTTTTCAATAAAAAAAAATAAAAAAAAAAGGTTGAAAGTGCTGTTGTGAACCAATATTAGTTGAGTCAAAAAATCTGTTAATCTATATTTAACAAACTAATTAAATTATATAGACGAACCTGGTGCACCTGGTCAACCCGAAGCAACTGATTGGGATAAAGATCATGTGGACTTAAGATGGACTCCACCAGTGAAAGATGGCGGATCTCCAATTACCGGCTACATAATTGAGAAACGTGAGAAAGACTCTCCAAAATGGATCAAATCTGTCGAAATTCCAGGAAATAAATGTGAAGGCACTGTTCCACATTTGGACGAAAATACTGGATACGAATTTCGTGTTCGGGCTGTTAATGCTGCAGGTCCTGGCGAACCATCGAAAGCCAGCAAATCTGTCATCACCAAACCAAGAAAATGTAAGCATTGAAGAATTAATTAATTTTACTAGTTAATTTAAGGGAAGCCGCCGTCACAGCTTCTTTCTTACCAGGTCTCAGTCGTCGTCGTCGTCGTCGTCAATTAAAAAATAAGCATCTTTTTTTGGTAATCAATTTCTGAAATGGGAGATAATCATTCGATTTGCTAGGGTTTTATTTTTTAGTCATATTATCTCTCTCTCCCCGTTTGGCAGCACAGCAATGATATCCCTACTACTAAAGAGCTCTAGATGGTGCACACAGAAATATTCTATATATTATGCTGAAAATAGCATTATGTTCGGACATATTGTTACGATTTATCTTCTTTGAAAAATCAATTTAATTTAATTTCATATATTTCGTTATTAAAAGGCAAAGCATTTACTCTATTTATTCACTACTCTTGATTTACGTTTCTACATAAGAACACAATAATCTTTTTAGTATGAAATCCTTTTAATTATGCTTTTTTCCATTGAACGTTGGCCAACTATCTTAATACACTAATACAATTGGTTATGAATTACGCTAACTATTTCGGGCCGTCGACTCGATTTACGATCAATTTCAGCTCTCCGGTGCCGTTATTCGATTCCCAATTTAGTTGTGTACCTCCGATTCTCCGAGCTCTCAATCGCTCAGGACTTGATGTCTTGGAATTCGGTGAAAGTTGCTTTGTAGTGGTGAGATGTCTTTGTGGTATTTTCGATATCGATGTTATTTGTAACAATAATTCACACTGAATATTGTATCGAATTTAATTATTTATCGTCTTATGGTTTAATCGATCGAAAAACCTGATCAAAACCTAATCAGAAAACCACTAACATTTCAAAGAAATTAACATAATTACTCTTTGTCTTGTTTTTCTCTTTATACAATACTTACAGTAAATTTTACTTGGCTTTGATGTGTATTCTTCAAGCGTTCAATGTGGAAAGAAAGATTAAAACTCTCTCACATCAAATGTCACCTTCAGAATCCCTATCAGCCTAGCCTTACAATGTTCTCATATTCCAACCGTTTCATGAATAGTCTTTATTTTATTTCGAATCGGTTTGTCAAATCACAACAATATCAGAGACCAGCTGATAAATCTTACCACTCTACATACAATGATGTTAGTGTTTTCATAGTACAATGCTATAAATCGCATGAATCTTTGACTTTTATCTGTAATTCTGATATGTCAATTTTTTTAATTTTATTTTCGGCATAATGTAGTACAAGAATATTATCTCTGTGTGTGTGGCGCAAGTGGTGATGGGATTTTTAAATTTATACTTGTCCATTATAACGTCGTACATGCATATAGGGTGTAGCATTATTCAAACAGTTTAACGGCGAGGGTAATAACCTTGGCTATGGGATCGATCCCCTGATCACGAATCAGGCGTTTTTTTGCGAAAAAAATTAAAAACTGAGATGTCACGGCGCACGAACGGCGAAGTATCAAAAATGGAAAAAATTTGGATTTTTTTGAATTTTTTTTTCAATTTTTGTGTAAGGCATCAAAATACACTAACTTTCAGTATTGCTTATTTTTATGCTTAAATCATCATCATCAGAACAGGACCCAAATAACACATTCTAGTTGAAAAATTCATTCAAATTCAAAAATGGATTCCTTCACCATGGACAACAACATTTCATTGAAAATTTTCAAAAATCCTGATTTTCAAACGACCCTCTCTTACCTACTAGTAGACTTTCAAGCGAATCACTTTCTGCGAGCGCCATCTCTTTCACGCCCTTGAAAACAATGAAGCTTGTAAACTTCGCAAATTTCTCATATAT